TTATTTCGCAGATTTCACTTAATTATTTTCGTCGCGCCGCTGTACGACTTAAACGGCTGACGAATGTATATTATCATAATGAAGCCACGAGCATAATTACCGCTAGATAACCATATCGAATATGTATGAAAAGATTGAATAGAACAGTAGTGTATCTGTTCAGTGAATATATTAACATTTGAATTACATGGCTGGCGGCGGTGTATTTCATTTTGACGATAATGTAAACCTTATGGCAATGCCGTACAGCCATTTATTAGGAATTTGATTAACCTACGTTCTATTTTGTAAAAAAGTCAAACATTTAAAGGGCATGTCGCGCTTATTTCCCCGCAACAAGTACGACCTAGTAAATAACCTTTAATTCAAAATATTCAGAATATTATATACAAACAAGCTAGATGAATATATGTCACACGCGAGACATGTGTGTGTGTGTGTGTGTGTGTAACCTATGACAGCATAATAGAACGTTTAAATATTTAGCCATCTAACAAATGCACCCGATTGCGTTTCCTACTTAATTATGCCATTAATCCAACGGTTTTATAAAATATTTTCTTTCCGCGGAAATTGGGCGAGTGACGTAAAACGATGTTGTTACATCTGTCGGCGTGACAGTGGTTTATTGGCGGTGTAGAACGTCAACAATATATAGTGTAACTAGAGCATTGTAGATGCGAGGAAAACTAATCTGCGTTGCATTTACAATTTTCACATACGCGTCAATGCTTAAATACGAATAATGTCCACTTTCACCGATAAATTTAAATATTTCACACTATTTAATAGTTCAAGAATAATTACAGCCAAATGTAGCACAACACCTGTGAAACAATTTGAAGTTTCATGGCCGAAGCTTTGTGTATCTGTTTACACGTATCTTATATAATCAAGAACGAAGTACAGTAAAATAAATTTTTATCGTGCGATCAGTTTGTTAAGTGCTATATTTATTTAAAACAATTATAAAAACTGTGGAAAATCACCAAACAAATCCGAATAAAGCAATGAAAATATTATTAATGTAGATATTTATCAAGCAACATCATGAAATTAAAGAAAAACAACAAAATCTCGTAAAACTGAAAGTCGATATGTATCGATGAACTGTTTACTAATGAGAATCGGTTTTTCCTCTAATTGACGACTCAAAAACGAGATACGCTCGCAAATTATTGTTAAATGCGGTATTCCGAGTTTGCAGATATTATATTACGAGAGTTATATGTGAGATTTTGCTGGTTACACACGATCTGGGCGAACTCGCGCGACACGGATATGAATATTGACGCCGATGTTCAATTCAGACACGACCCGTGCATTACGAATGGAGTTCACAGTTGAGATTAATAATTTACGATTGCGCGGACTTCGTGCGGGATAAACGTCGTGAACATTATTCGCATAGTCGGCGTCCTCATCAAATTTGCAGCGAAACGAGTACTTACGAGGCAATATTATGAGCAGCATAATTATAGGAGTAATAATAAACGTTACTCGTATATCTAACATGACTTGTGTTCTTAATTTCAACAATGCTGCTGACGATAAAACAAAGCCTGACGAATAAATTCGTTCATCTTCGAAGAATGCGAGGATATAATTAGCAGACATTAATTTTGTACGGCTAAGTCCTTTGTTACGCGTACGTACTATGTGTACGAACATTGCCCACATAATTACCTCAGGCACATATAACAGTGTAGTCATGGACGCACAGGTATAGCTTACCGCATATGCGCCTATTATTGCAGTGTTAATTCGATGGCAGATGCCAAGCGCGTCTTCTCAAATGCACATTAGGTAGATCAAAAGGCCTCGGTGTTGTGTCTTGGGTCAACCTAACCCGCAAATCTGACTAACCTTAGAACCGAAACTCCAAATAGCATCGCGAGGATACGTCGGTCTCTCTATCGGATCCTCTTGCACACTACAACCCCTTTCAATTGATGACTTTGGTTAATAGAAGCTACGGGTTTCGTTCGTTAATTCTTGGATTAACTTAGATCGACATTTCTTTAATGCAAATTTGATTATCACTGATATTTTCACGCGAGTTAGTAACAAGTTTAAGCAATATATGGAAAGTATAAAATGATGAATAACTTGGATAGAACAACAGTTTTTTTCAGTGTAAAAAAAAAGAAGATATATTCTACATTCAATTTTCTCTTAATGGCAAAAATGCCAAGAGATCACGTTTCCACCGGCACCGCTGTGAAAAATAGGTTGTGACTTGTCACTCGTGGCCTCAGGGTCTGTATACATTAGGAATATTACTTGTTTTTAATATTTCTCGCTGCTCTAGACTCGTCTCCGACGATATGCATTTTTTAATTTTGTAGTAGCTTCAAGAATGGCAAGATCGCAAGATGTACCTACGTTTCTTTAAAAATTAGAAACACAAGGAAATTCAAGTTTTTCTCCGTACGAGAGTACGCAGTACTTAAAATTCATGACATACACTCGGGGCGAAATCTAAATAAAAACTGTTTTTTCTCCAGACAAACCTTTTATCTTGGAAATAACGTAAATTAAAATATTGCGACACAAATTTGTTTCAATAAAATATAATATATACGCGCAGCCGATGCTACGTGTCTGTTTTAATAACTTTTTCGCGATTCGACTGACAGTTCGATCAAACTAAGCGGCTCAAACATTTTGAAACGTTATACAATCTCTTTTATCCGCGTGTAAAAAATACTTACCACGAGTGAAGAGTTAATCCCACCGTCGTACACATATAGATCCGTTTTTGTTACCTTAGCGTATTATTTGCGATAACCGATGTTGCCGCGCGTGAATGTTATCAATTGTGACGTCTCGTCAATATGTGACAGCGACAGACGCGACGTCGTAAAAAGCTGTTGTCGCAACGGGTAAAACGTAGTGAGCTTTTTACGGGGGAGAGGGAAAATTTAACAGCGCGCCGCAACGAATCCGAGCACACGCGCGCATTAATATTATTTCGAACGGGACAAACGAGCCCAAGTAAATTACGATCGCGGCACATCCTGAAAAAGCCTCCCTCGCTCCCCCTTGGCGCTCTCGCTCTTTATGACACTTGTTTACGGTCGCACTTAAACTGCTATGATTTAGTGGCTGCTGCGGAACACGATTCGAGAGTGGCATCGACGCGGATTGCTTTTCCTCACGCGCGGTCGACTGAAACTAAATTATTGCTACACTACGGAGTAATAAAAACCGGCAGGTCAGACAAACGCCGGCTGCGGAGCGTGTTACGTCACAGCGGTGGAGAAATTGGGGCAAACCAATCCGCCGTTTTAATTAACATTCATCATGACGTTTCGTCGCGGGTCAAAACATATAACTTGAACGAAACACTCCGCTCTGATATATATATATATATATATATTATTTTTTTTCTAATGATACCAACGGTGAATCTGCATTCTATCTCTTGGCAATTTAATCTGAATTCTTTATGTTCGCGCTCGATGCGCGAATGTATAATGGGAAATTTTTTATAAACCTGTTTTACAATCGATTAGCGCGTTATCAATATTCGATAGAGGTGAACTTTTTATTCAATATTCGAATTTCCACGATTTTATTTTTATGGTATTTTAAATTATGAAGAATTCTCGTATTAAAATAAAATTTTATTATCAAGACATAGTTGATTAAATCTAAGTATTATTCGCAGCAATAGCTCATTTTCTTCTCACTTGTTTTGTACAATGAGCCCCAGCGTGAAGCGGACTATACAAACAACATTGCTCAGACAAACTTTTCTCTATCTGCCAAGTAGCTCGGTTAATTATTATACCTCTCTCGATTGTTCGATAAAAAGTCTGAAAGCTCCCGCAAAATCGCTAACGCGCACAAATATTCGATGAAGGCAACGAGAAAAAGTTCTCGCCCGTGAACGGTCCGCAGCGAATCGCGATTGATTTTACGGACACGGGCGCTAAACGGATTAACGCTGGGCGAAATCATATTTGCCCGTTGTTCCTCGAGCGTGTCCACCTGGTGACCTAGATCGATCCTAATCTGGTCGCGCCCGTCCAACCGGGAGCTTACGTCGAAATTGTCCCCGCTGGCAATCGGCCGGCCAGTCGGCCAGTCGAGCCTCCCTTTCAAGGGGAGGGACATGGACTGCGAGGATATCCGCTTAAGTGCCACTAAGTAGGTACGGCGTAAGATATGATGAGAAATGGCCGGTGTGAGTATTCATTGAGGCACCTGAATGCCGATGTATCTATTGGGGCGCGCATAAGGGAGACGCGTTTACGCAGAGCGCTGTTTATCGACAGCAGCGGCGTATCGGAGCTATATCGAGACTGGCTTCCCGGGATGCAAATGACCTCCGTACATCACGTCAAGGGTACATACTCGTAGACAAAGGACCAGGTACTTACCCGTCGGCGAAGCGAGCTTCCAACGCAGCGACCGAGACGAAGACACGAGCTGTCCCCGATGTGTTGTCTTTATCGGCTTACCGCGCTTCTTCTTCTTCTTCTTACGCTTCAAATCCCTCATTGCTACGAAATTTCTGATTCAGGAACTGTGGGAAGAAAAGGAAAAATGTGACTAGGATGGGAGCTGGAATTGCGACATGTCGATTGTTTCGGGACGGGAGAGCATTTTGTTGCTGTAAAATTGATGTAGCAGAATGACCACTTTTCATAACAGAAAAATAATCATATTATCAAGAAAAATAAGTATATCGAGTACAGTGAAAATAAAATATTTCGCAACGTTTAATTTCTGCACGAGATTGTTCGTAATGACAATCCCACGCACATCGATCCCCCGTTTTGTACGCAGAAAACAAGCTGAATCTTAAAATAAATTTAACGAAAAATCTGACCGTTTAATTAAAAATGCGAAGAGAGTCGAGGCGCAGCGTTATGCAAATAAATGATCCGATTTCTCGTGCGGATTTTTAAGCAGGGGGAAATATCGACGCGTTCGGCAGCCGCCCCGGGCGGAGGCTCGCGGAATGAGAATCTCCATCTGTCTCCCACAAATAATCGTTATTTCTTCTCTTTTAATTGCCTTACGAATTCTGGTACAATTGGATTCAACATAAACGATAAAGTCGGTACTGCTCGTTTATATATACATTAATGGTACGTTTCGTTAAACATCCTTTGAGTAGTGTCACTAAGAGCGTACGCTGATCGCTCGTGTGCTAACAAGTAATTGATCTCGTACAATCGGGTTAAACTTACTCGCTACCAGTCGTTCTCGTTCGGACGCGAGCTCGGGGGCTCGCGGCTCGCGCGAGTCAATTAATCGCGCCCGCGTCCGTCTCGCTTTCATATCCTTTTCGGAATATACAGAAGCAGGATTAGCGACATCCGCGTGCGCGCGAAAGCCATTTACAAGTACTAACGAGGACAGATCTCGTTCGGCGTATAAAAAAGCACGGGGGAAGAGTGGGATGACGGGGTGTCGATGGGTGAAAGGAGAGCGGGAGAAAGGATGTGCAACATGGCAATGGTGGATTTTGCGAAACTCGTTCCCGTTGCTCGAAAACAGACGGCGGAACCGCCGTTCACCGGGAATACGCTCTTTCGGGAACTCTTCTCTCAGGAACATACAACCACGTCGTGCGTTCTCTTCGCCGTCTCTTACATTAGCGGAAACCTTTCGATCGCCCGCGAAATATCGGACTCAGAGGTGCGCAAAATTTCATCGCGATATGTCGGACTGTTTAACTCTTCCATTACCTGGCGAAATTCCAAAATTATTCCCCAAAGCAGTTTTTCCGTTGTATCTCTGTCCGAGAGCAAAGCTTCTCCCTCTTGGTAGCGGAAGAGTTAATATTTATCTCTGCACTTCGGTGCATCTGTAAATCGAGAAGAGAGTAAGACGTGAGCGAAACGATTGGACGCGTTAAATTCGGAAAAGATTTTAGTGACAGATTTCGCGTCTTGCGCACTTCTGGTTCGTACGAGCGAGCCGTGACAATACAATCGAATTTATTTTATTTACAAAGTTGTGCTGCATCTTCGCTAATTACTTTTCTCGGCAATTACTTCCTAATCTTTGATCCGATGGTCGATTCGTTTGGAGATCAAGTGATATCTTTCTTTCGCTCTCTTTCTCTCTCTTTCTCTCTCTCTCTCTCTCTCTCTATTGACAGTACCGACTGATTTTGCCCAGCGCAATAATCACGGCGATAAAACATTCAATTTTGCAATGCAACCTTTCCTCTTTCTTTCGTCCGAGAGTTTCAATTTAATTTAGCTGGAAAAAATACACCCACTACATTCAGAACTTCTATTGCCAAACCATTGATCATCCAGACCTATTCATCCTGATTGATGATGGGAGTCTCGTGCAATGACTGCGTTTCACCTGACGAAGCACTCGATCGATCTAACAGTGTGAATTAGTAAAAGTTACATCGTGGTTCTTAGTCATGCCGAAGAGAGTTACAGCGATCGTTACATTCAAGAAGGTATGTACAGTACGGCTATTCGTGGGTCGATCACGTTGCTGATAACGCGTATCCGAGGCGTATCGTGTCCCTAAGGCGACACTCGGCACGAAAATCATTTTCACTCGTCAGTGATAAAGCAGGCGAAGATAATAAAAAAAATTTCTCTCTATTTTTTTTTTATTACATTTTTTATAAAATTCTCGTATCATCAGTATGAAGCTCCTTCGTTTTACAATTTAAAAAAAGAAAAAAGATAAATTGATAAAAGACTAAAAATAACAAGAATAAAAAGATCATTAAATCATAATAAAAATCGTACATCTATTGAATTTTAAAATAATCTAAAATTTGATCGTTAGAAAGTAGATCGTTAAAATTGCAACAAGAACGGATTTAAATTTTTCGTTTTCATTCATGTTAATATCTTAGAATATTTATATCTTTTAAATTTTTTAGATGATTAACTCTATATTGATTTCTATACAAATCCAGTATTTTCATTTTTGAAAAAGCGAAATTATTCATCTCTCGTTTTATATAGCATTAATAAAAGTACAATGAATAGTTACGTATACCTACCTTTATCTAGTAACCTAATATTTTTCCAACAAATCGAATTCAAAATGCATTAGGGTATATTTAGTCGTACAATTACGTCTTTTAACTTATTGATTTTTCCATTTGTTTGCAGAAGAATGCAAAAAAAATCTGAATAAAACAAACAATGATCAGGATTTCTTTCTCTCGATTTTCCCGACCGTCAATAGCTCTATCTGTCGCGCGGCTGAATATTTATCGAGCGGCGTCATGCGCGTTCCTTGAAAATAGTATGCCGCGATGCGTTATTATCCGGAACGACGTATTCCACATTGCGCATTACGAGCGCGTTTTCCAACGCGCCTCGGATTCTGTGCACGCTACGAGACCAACCCACTGCGATCGGAGAGATCTATGAAGAGGTATACACGGATAGACCAGTACGATACGATTTTTTTTTTATCATTTAAAGCTTAACATTATCTTAACGAGCGTGAGTCCGCGCACCCACGCGCATTGTCTCTCGCGCGTCGTCCGCACTGCGCTTTCCACGCGCGCCTTTTCGCCGGCAAATCTCGTATTCTCGCTTCCGGAACTAAAGCCTTGATCAGTGTGCGAACTCGCGATGCATGATTTTGGTGTGTGATTAAAAATGCGTGCGTCACTCAGAGGAGACATCGATTGCGAAGGGAAAATTAGCGGTAATGACAGATTAAGATATGTAGAAGTTGAGACACAGATGTCATCGGATACTTAATCAACGCCATCGGCGGTTCACGAGAGCCTTCCCATCGCATTGAGATCCCAACGAGGGAATTATCACGCGAATCAATCGCGTTCGTGGCGTTTCGTGGCGTCGCGTCACCGCGGCTCCGCTTTCCGAGAGAAACTTTCCGTCACTTTCGCGCCCGATATATTTCCCGGGTCGACGGTGTTCGCAATCCGCGACCGAACGCTAGATGCAACTTTATTCGAAGAACATTCCGGGCGCGTCAGCTGGCTGCGTTAACTGCGACCGCACACCAGACCGTGCTACGTGATACAATCTCGATCATCTCGGTTGGAATGCAATTAATTTGATATATATTTGATATTACCGGATGGTGCCGAGTCAGACAGTCAAATTGTGACAATACGTCCTGTAAATAGAATTCCAGAGAAAGCTAATACGTGTTATATATTATTGATGAACGTAATAAGTAGAATATCTGCGCGAGAATGAAATCGATAAGAATAAATCGAGCTGTTTTCATTCAATTATGAGGGAAAATAATCACATAAAGCAGTAATTAAGCACGCAAGTTGAGCGCGCTCTGCCTTAGCATAATCAAGGCACCAGGTATAACGTGAATATATAACGGCCCAGACCCTTGTATCGACCAAGCCAATATTTCCCTCTCGCGAACGACGGTACGTCGAGCTTAGTTATATAACTTATCGGGTCTATCATACACGCACACGGATAGGCGACGGTCTCATAGCCGCATCGAGGTTCGACGACTCCCGAGCTCGTAAATTCCGCGTCCTGCGATGCAAATGGAACGCCGGACGAAACTGCGGGCGTTCTCCCTTGCCAAGCTACGAATTTCGCACGGTCCGGACTGCATAATTTAGGGATACTTCAGTGGCTTTTTCGTCTTTCGCGAAAGGCGAAAATCGATTATTATTGTCGTAGCCGATTCCGTTTGCTAGTCCATAGCGGGCGGCGAGAACGATCGAGAGAAATATTTATTTCTGGCAAAATCTTCGCGCTAAATGGACTAAAAGGACGCTAAGTTCAGCGAAGAAAATTGCAGTCTTTTTTTCAAAATGGTCCGACAGTCATAAATTTATAAAGGTAGGTTTACGATATAATATTTCTCTAATCTGTATAATTTATTTTCTTCGCTGTTGTACTCTGGAATAACGTGGGATCAACATTCAGTCAAATGGCCGTTTCTTAATGGTGTTAGAAAGATGCAATGTAAAATAATCATTTCACTCACTGACTTATAATAGATTAAATTTAAGATATGCATTTCAAATTTAAACACACGTTATATATCTTTTAACGGACAGTAAATTGATATTCTAACAGTGGCAGTAATTCTTTATTGTGAATACGAGATTGCAATGCACGTAGGACGATCTGCGACGGATTGAAAAGAAGCTGCGCTCGAGAGCGACGTAAAGTTTCAGCGGGTCGAAGTGCACATCCGGCGGCTTACGAGACATTCGTATGACGCAGCGCGTCATATATACGTATATCTCAGAAGTTTTCGCGAGAGCGGATAAGTCCGACGAACCTCAAAATATTTGTTCTCCACGAGAAAGAAACGATACCGCTTCCGGCGACCAGAAATTGAGTGGAATTCCAGGATAGTTTTGCCAGCGTAACTAGGTCACCGGTCGGTCTCGGACGAAAACATGGTTGGTTCTTACCTCTCGAGATCCGCAGGAGTCAGCTGCATCGCCGATAGATTTCCTCGTCTCTACGCGGGCGCCGACCGGCGGCAAAGAAATGCTAATCCCGTCGCGCCGACCTAAGAGAAATCGTTCGTTCTTGTCAAAATGCGTCAGTCCATTCCGCGTGTTCGCTCGTCTTCGAATTCGATCGTTCGCGCGAGCAGTTCGCTCGTCGGCGAATCTACACGCTCTGTCAATCCCGGTCGGCGTCAATGCGTCACACAAGCTACGAATGAAAAGTCCAGTGGAAATCGTTGTAGCGTGAGCCTCGACGTGTGGTTATGAATGCATGCAATCGCATGAGACGTGCAGACGGGGTGGTCGCTCAAGGAAATGTGGACTGGACAGGATTAGCTGGGTTTCGTGCTCCGGAAGCGAGAGCAAAGTTGGCGAACTCTCTTTGCGGTCGCTGTTAGCCCCGCACATTGTCTTCTCCTTCGCCCCCTCCGCACACTTTGCTATTCCGAGTCGATCGCGATCGACGGTCGCGAAGATCGGGGGCGGAGATTTATAGAGTTCGGCGGGTGATTAGCGCGGGTGGGGTGCACCCCTGGTCTTCTCTTCTGGCTTCGCCTCCCTTGCACCATCCTCGTGGTCGTCCCGATCTCGCCTGGGTGAAACTATCGGCCGTACTCTCTTACTACAGCGCCTCGTGATCGACCAGTCACCTCGCGAAGGAGCCGGCGTGCAGGAGCAACAGGAGCAGCGCGAGCGTCCTCGTGGCTGCGCCGCTGTTACTAGAGTTCCCGTGCTGCATGGCCGCCGGATGCTCCCCTGAAACCCAAGAAAGCCGCATACACATAAATTATTTTGCAGACAGGGACTAGGCGGTCGGGGATGGGCAAATGGAAAATTTACATCGCCGCTTGTTCTCCCCGTCTTAGCCTTCTCTCGCCTCCTCGAGAAATTTGTGTGCCTGAGAGGAATGTATGCAGCGCGCGTGATACACAGATCCTCTGATCTTTACTCTTATCGCAAGTTTTTCAACAAACTCCACATCAATATTGTTCTCAACCCGAATAACCTTGATATCCGAGTTGCGTTTTCGCGTATTCGAATAATAATAACTCTTTCGTATAATATAGATGTTTATTGCAGGTCCACAAAATAATTGCTTAGTATTTTTTCACCAACAGTTAAAATCTCGCAAACTTTAGAATCAGTAATCTCGAATTACGAGATGCGACAACGCCTAGGAACCTTAATGGTCCTGAGTCGCTTGGCAACGCCTTGAGACTGTATTATTTGTCCTGAGCCTTCGCAATATTGAATCGCTTGTAAGAGATCCGAACGTTTTGAGATTTCAGAAATTACTAAACTCGATCATTGCGCGACACCGAATTTATACCCGACTTGATCTATGGCATCAAAGCGCGGGCCGAAAGACTTTGTAACAAACCGACAAAAGCGCGTGCCGAAAGACTTTGTAATAAACCGACAAATAATACCGACGAATAATAGCGACAAATAATACCGACAAATAATATCGACAAGAAACTCTCTTACAAGTCAACTCACAAATACGCGTATGTTTTTTTATAAACTACCGTCGTGCACGACATATATTAACGCATACCAAATATCTTTTTGATATTACATATTTCGATGATTAAGACACGAATTAAAATTGCAAAGAAACTTGCATACTTGATGTTAACTAAGCGATGCATTGATTTGATTGCATCCAATTATGCAATATTCATTGCACCGTATTAGAATAATTTTCTGCGTGCATGTGATAATCAAAGCGATACACTAACATTTATTGAAATAATTACGTATAATTAACCGTGATTGTACAAAATTAGTAGTGCATTAGCTTATACATTAATTATTGTCAACTACGAATACGTGAATATTTGAGAGTATCATGATGAAAAGTACACACTACAAGTTTTGTACATATATTAGTTTTACAAATTGTGCGACAATTAGTGTAAACAAAACGGTGGCCGATCGCTTGTAAATCTAAACACGATGGTAAATCTAAACATAAACTTTCTAACCAATTCATCGAACTGTTATCGATATCAAAATAAACGCATTGTTCGGGAAATAATTCGGCGAACAATAATGGTATTTTAAACGCACGAGACATAAATAAATGAAATAGCTGTAATAACAGTGTAGTGACGCAAAAACAGGCGCGCCCCTATGCCAAATAGCCAAGCGTACTTCTGCGGACATAAAGCTTTTCAAAATGTTCGCCCGGAGCGAAGTCGAATTCTCTCCGTCGTGCGTATCGATTTCGGATAAATCAAATATTTAAGCGGACATTACGTTAGATATTGCAATAGCGCGACTGTTTGTCTCCCGATAGCTAGCAAGAAACAGCGAGAGAGAGAGAGAGAGAGAGAGAGAGAGAGAGAGAGAGAGAGAGAGAGAGAGAGAGAGAGAGAGAGAGAGAGAGAGAGAGAGAGAGAGAGAGAGAGAGAGAGAGAGAGAGAGAGAGAG